ACAAACAGATTATCAGGGACTATCACAAACAGATTATCAGGGACTATTATACACTCACAAACTAGAAAACCTAAAGGAAATAGATAAATTCCTTGACTATGAAGGAATTCCTTCAAATTCCTTGACTATGAGGAATTCCTATAAATTCCTCTACCTATGAAGGCTGAATCAAGAAGAACTAAAAAACCTGAATAAACCAACAATGAGTAATGAAACTGAATCAGTAATAAAAAGTCTCTCCCAATATAGAAAGTTCAAGACTTGGTGCTTCACTGCTGAATTCCCATGTGGCTGTCTTTCCAATGTGATGTTCAGATAGTCTGCATTCCCTCTTGAATCTAGTGGGTTTGTGACCACAGTGGAAGACTAAGTCATGAAAGGCTATACAATTTCCTCCTGGCCTCTTGGTTCCCTCTTGATACCGACCACTATGCTGTGACGAAGTCAAGCAGCCACACAGAGAAGTTATGATCCTACCACAGCACCAGGCAAGGTCCCTACCAAGAGCCAACATCAACTGCCAGCCATAATTTCAAGGGAACAAGCCTTCATATTCTTCCAACCACCCACTTTGGAGTTGTCCTCACCAAATTTCAGACTTATGAGCAAAAGAAATGCTGTCATTGTGCTAGGCTACTCTGCATGGGATAGTTTGTTACACAGGAACAGACAGCCAAAACAATGGGCAAGGCCCCCAATGCTGGACCCATTTCCTGGCATAGAATAGAACTGGCCTAAAAAGAAATGGGACTTGCCTGTCTCCCTTTCATGAATTTTCATTATTTGGGTTGATTCTTTATTAATAGTAGCCTTTCTCTCTGAGTCCCAGATTAGGTTGTCTGTGAGATATATCCCAGCTGAAATTGCATTTGAGTGTGTGTGCAGGCACACTATATGATGGTTGAATTGTTGCCAGCATTTAGGAATTTGAATCTTTTTATACAAACACAGAGAGAGAGAAAGAGAGAAAAAAGTACAGAGAATCTAATTTTTTGTCTTCTCTCAAAAAAAAAAATAGAATAAACAGAAGGTCTGGCAATGTTGGATTTACATTCCCTTATAACAGTAATTTGCTCACAAAACCCCTGGTTCCCTCAGCGCCATCTCCTCTCTGTTGCATTACATCCTGCCTGTTCCATTCAAGCTTCCATCACTCTTTTTTTTCTCATTTTTTAATTTGTATAAATGTATGGGCTACAAGTGCAGATTCTTTTCACACAGAGATTGCATAGTGGTGAAGTCAGGGCTTTTAGTGTATCCATCACCCAAACAACATACATTGTACCAAATAAGTAATTTCTATTCCTCCACAGCTTCCCACTCCCTCACCCTGTTGAGTCTCCATCGTCTATCATTCCACACTCCACATCCTTGTGTACACATTTTCTTTTATCTCCCACTTATAAGTGAGAACATGCAGTAGTTATCTTTCCGCATCTAGCTTGTTTCACTTAACTTAATGGCCTCCAGTCACTCTTAGATTTCTTTCCTGACATCTATGGACATTTGGGCTCGTGACAGTAAGCCAACGATTCTCTACCTGATTGATAAAAATTTACACTTATATAGTTCTCAAGGAGTTAACACCCTTTTGAAAAGATGAGTTTAATATAATTGGGAAAATAAAAATCAGAATAATTTTTAAAAAGCGAAGTCTTAGTTTATAATTAAATTTAAAAGGATAAAATAAAATATGCAAAAAAGCCACATGATGAGGTGACTGGGATAGCAACTCAGGTTATTGTCATACACCCCGGTATCAATGTCCAGCTCTTAGTGGCTGCTATGCATATATTGATGCCCCAGGAGCCAATTATCTTTGTGTAATTGTTCTATATAAATGTTGTTCTCACCGGGAGCAAAATTACACAAAATATACATTCTGCTAATATGCTACATTTAAGAATCCTATTTATGGCCAAGCACGGTGGCTGACATCTGTAATCCCAGCACTTTGGGAAGCCGAGGAGGGTGGATCACCTGAGGTCAGGAGGTTGAGACCAGCCTGGCCAACAAGCTGAAACCTCGTCTCTACTAAAATACAAAAATTAGCTCGGTGTGGTGGCCAGCGCCTCTAATCCTAGCTACTTGGGAGGCTGAGGCACGAGAATTGCTTGAATCCAGGAGGCGGAAGTTGCCATGACCCAAGATCGTGCCAATGCACTCCAGCCTGGGCGACAGAGTGAGAATCTGTCTGAAAAAAAAAAAAGAAAAAAGAATACTATTTACTTTTTGGTACAGTTACTGAAAATACCTTTCTCACACTAGTGTATGAAGAATCTTAAATAGTTTCTAGAGAGAAGACTGAATTTCGAGTACTGGAAAATGGAATCATTCAGCCTGGATGATAAAAACTGAAATTGATTTCTTTCTTTCATTTATAGTATTTGGTGTATTTCATCTTATTAAACAGATTTTAAGTAAACTGTCTTTCCGTTTAATTGAATAGCATAATTTTAATGCATTTTATATGCCCTAAAATGAGTACAATGTTTATGGAAATGGAAAGGTAAAAATACGTCAGCCAAATAAGAAAATGATCATCCTTGACATGTAAAAATAATTTTATTTTCATAGGAATAAAAATGAAGGGGAAATCCTATTTATTGCTCCTTAAATATATTGGGAATGCAGCCATTCACAATTTATCTCATAGTGATGTGTATTCATTAATTACTTTAAGAAAATTTCTATGTTTCAAAATCAATCTAACAAGTACTTAATTAAGTCTTATGCAATCTTTCACCAACAGGGTGAAAACACTGTAGTTTAACCAAGTTTATCCTTGTGGTGGGCCTATTATGGCATGTTGAAATCAGAATTCTACTCACGGCCTTTCATTTGACATACAATTGGGTGGGCTTTCTAGAAATGCTACTCTTCCGGGGAAAATAACATGGAGTTAACATTCAAAGTGTGTCCCATTTTAATATTAACATAGTAAGAGCTCTCATGCTCCCTTTTACAGAACATGCAAGGAGAGTTAAAAGGCATGCTATACTCCTCACCCTAAACAAACGGTTAAAATTTCTATTTTTAAAAAACGTTGGCTCAAATAGTTATTTAAATAAGGGATTTACTTTACAACACAGGAGAATAAGCCATTCCCCTAGTGAGGCCTGCGTTTGTGGTCAAATCCTTGCTTCATAAAGTTAATGTCTGAGATGCTGCACCAGGAGAAGATTTATACATCAGTGACTTCAGCAGAATGCAATCCTCATAAAACTTTATTTTATTGCAGTTGTAAAATTACTTCTTTCGGGGAAGAAACGATTAATTTGTGAAAAAATAGATAACAGAGTGGTTTTGAACTTTTTATTGTTGTCACTTTATTTCCTGCCAGAGTTAACGGCTCAGTGCCAGAATCAGGGTTCAATTTTGATGGCATATCTCAGTCTAAACGGTGTAGAAATCGAACTGAGAAGTTAGGGACAAAATCACTAAGAAATACACTCTAAATCCACCGAGAACACTGATTTTAATATTATCAAAGCCTTAATGCAACGCCAGAGCAATTAGGAGTTTTCATCTGGATCAAGACTTTTAGCAAAGGGCAGTATGTTTGCATGTAATTTTATAAGCAACAAAGCGTGTACGTTCACCGCCATCCAAACGTTGGTTACGATTAAACAAGGATGTTCAGGAAACCTAACCACCTAATCATTTTGGTCATCTCACAATCTTTTTCTCCTTTTTCTATTTAGAAAGGCGCCACCTATGAACAGGCAAGGTGGTTACTTAGGCTCCTTCAAAGCAAATCAGCAGCGGTCAAATTAACTTTGTTTGGTTATTAAAGTAAGGGAAAGTTTTGCCACTTCACAGGAGATTTTGCACGGGGACCTTCTATTTTAGCCTCTAAATGTGGCTTCCTGAACAGCTCTCGGAATAGCAAAGTCCCTAAGCGATTCTTAGGGACCTTCTGGAGAATGGTGTAGCTGTTATCAGCCCCGCGCCTGGGAGCTCCAAAATAGCCACTATTTGGAAAGTTCTGAGATTCACACTCCTAGACAGTAAGTCCGCGAAGTACTAAAGCGCTCTGTCCCTTCCCTCCTCTGAGAGCTGTCCCGTTAGGTCGGCAAAGCCAAAGCCGAGGTCCTTCTCCCTTCCTGTCAGGGATGAAGGGGGATGCGTTGCAGGTGTGTAGGCGGCGGTAGGGGGGTGTCTCTTAAGTGGTGCGCTGGGGACAGGAAAGTGTTCAAAGAGGGAAACCTGCCTGGGGTCACGCGTGCTCGGCTTCCCGGGGAGCCCTGCCTCCGCGCGCCTTCCGCGGCTCGGGGAGCTCAGGCACTGCCCGCGGAGGTGAGAGTGAGCCCGGCCGGGGGCTCGGGGCTGCGCCAGGCGAGACCGAGCTGCTGGCCCCAGGGACGCCCCGTAACTGCGCCCTCGCTGGGGTCGGGACGAGACCCGCCTCTGCCGAGCGGGCTCCGGGAGGAGACATGCTTACCTGGAGGTAGGGCCGCCCGTGGGCCACCCCGCCCACGACGATGTCAGCGGACGCCATGGCCCCAGTGGGCGAGAAGCCGAAGCCCACGTATCCGGTGGTGCGCACCTGGAGGCGGAAGGCGATCTGGCTGCCCCGCTGGTCCCAGCCCAGCCAGTACTTGCCCTCCGAGTCGAGGAGGGTCCAGTGCGGGTAGGTCCTGCCCAAGCCCCCCGCCGCCGCCCCGGGGAGCAGCCCCCACAGCAGAAGCAGCGGCCAGCAGCACATCCTCGGGCGCCTCCTGCCCGCCGGCACCCGGCACCCGGCACCCGGCTCCCGCCGCTGGGGAGCAAGGAGCAGGACGAGGAGCGGCGGAGGCGAGCGGGAGCCCAGGGACCGCCCCTCGGGCCGGACGCGCGCCTGCCCGGGAGGGGCAGGACCCGCTCTCCCTGCCCCCGGCGGCCGGCAGGGCGCGCCCGGTCCCGTCCCGTCCCGTCCCATTCCGTCCCGTCCCGTTCCGTCCTGTCCGGTCCCAGCCCTGCCAACTCCCACCCTGCCCGGCCCTTCCCTCGGATCCACCTGCCTCCCCGACCCCTGACTTGGTCCCCGAGGTCGGGGCTGGATGGGAAGGAAAGCGAGGGAGGAGGCAGACGCCGAGAGAGGAGAAAAGGGGGCCAGAGGCAGAGGGAAAAGGAGAAGGGCCAGAGAATCCTAGAGCGGGAAGAGCGTGAGCTCTGCGGAACGTGGGCCAGACGTTCCTGGGAAAAGAATGGAAATTGACGAGAGAGGGCAAGTTTAGCATGGAGGGGCGGAATTGAGTGAGCAAAAGGGGTAGTCTGGGGTGCGATGGAGAGAAAAGCCCCCGTCCAGGGTAACCTTCACATGTCTGTATCCGTTGCTTTCCAGAACCTTTGTTTCCAGTGAGTCCCTACTTCCATGCAGGGACCCAGCTCACCTCCCCCCGAGGATTTCTCTCACCTTCCCACCCTGCGTGACCCCAGAGCTTGCTCCACACGGCAGGAGTTGGAGCTCTGGAGCTTGCCTTCACCTAGCTTTGGTTTGGTTTGGTTTGGTTTTGACAGAACAAAGTCAGCCAAACTACTTTGCCATCAGCAGAGGGGGTCAGGGTTGAATTGTCATTTGAGAGCGATATTTTAATTTAACATTCTCTTTTCTTGCTATTGCAAATTCTGGCCATAACCATGTTTATCAAAAGTTTGTTTTGTTTTAGTTTTGCCTCTACCTTTGACCACTGTCTTCGGAATGCTAAATACAATATGGCCACTAAAGTTTACCTTGCTTATTTATTTATTTATAATCTGCCAAATTTTCAAGAAAGTTCGAAAATTTGTATTTATGAAAATACAAACAATACAAAATAGAAAAACAAATAAGAGAGACTATCAGATGAAAAATACGGGTTAGTAGAGCAGGCTCCGCACAAGCCACCGTTCTCTCTCCTCACCTCAAATTTCAGCCCCATTCTCTCTCCTCACCTCATATTTCAGCCTGTTTTTCCCCTGCCTATCTTTTCCCATAATTTTTCCAAAATTACCGTCATGTATCTAATCTATTTTCTTCTAAGAATACAGGAATATTTGACCATGTCTGGAAGGTGACCGGTAGGTGGATCTGCTTACCAAACTGCGCAGAGACTTGCCTGGGAAGGGATTTTTCCCAAGGAGAGTTTGGATCAAGGTCTGCAGGGCTGGGCAACGGCAATAGGCCAGCATCAGAGAAGAGTGATGTTGGAACCTCGAAATAAAACGAGAAATAAAAGAGCTTCCAAAGCCTTACAAGAACTGGACATGGAGACTATGAAATATAAGTTGCTGGTGCCTCACCTCTACCAGGACCCCCAGGCAAATGTCGAGGGCAGCAACAACCATACAGCAATGTAAGAGTGACAACTTTGGAATTGGGTTTCTACAGGCACCAGGGACTTGGCTTCAGCCATGAAGAAAAGAAAGGGGATATGGGGAGAAAGAGGAACAAAATAGGGGGAATGGAGTCCCAGAGGAGTGGCTCATGGCACTGTATGGGCCACACTCACTATCCTCTCACTATCCTGGGCAGGGATTTCAGGGAAGTAAGATTATTGTAGAATGATTAAAGGCAAACTTTCTGTTTTGTGACCCTACTTTTATTCCAAGGGTGGAGGAACCTGGAACAAGCACATTGCTACAACTTCTTCCTGGGGTTCATTATATAAACCCCAAATTCACATCTATCAGGACTTTATGTCTCCTTGTTAAAACAAAAAGAAGTCATGCCTTCCATAACTCCTCCACCATTAACCATTTTGGCTTCACCTTCCATCACTCTCTTCTCACTCACCCATTGGCCTCTAGATCACATGAAAACTCCCTCTGGAATCCTCAATGGAGAGCCACGCTATTTTGCATTACTGTCCCTATTTGCATTGCTTGCTCTGCAGGGTTTTTCATTTCTGTCCTCCTTCCTTTGAAGTGTTTTCTTCTCCTTCTCACACTTCACTGTAAGATAGCATCCTATCTGTGGATACTGTCGACAGTAGTCTCCATGAAATGTTCTGCCAGACCCCATATGGCACCCATTACACTTCAGTGTGCTTTTTGTCTACAGGCTTGTTTTCATCCAGTAGCTTCTTTAGATCAGGAACCACATCTGGTTCCTCATTGCCTAGAATGTGGAGATCATGCAATAGATGCTTCATGAATATTTGTAGGAAGAGTGAATACATGCATGCCCAGATCCTCCTGTAAGCATTCTCTTAACAAAGTTGTTCTGTGGGGGAAAGCTTGGACCCAGATGTAATTGAGTGTTTTGCTCTGCATTTATTGAGGCAAAAATAGAAAAGACCACACATGAATACACAAAAGACAAAGTTTTAAATTGTTTTTATTATTTCATTGAGTATGAAGTTATTGTCTTTTGTTGTGACTGGCACTGCATCCAAAACACCCTGAGCACTCAAGAAACATTAAAACTAATATAACCATTTTGAGATCAGGTCAACAAACAGAACATTATTAGCATAATTCATACTCAAGAGACCCAGTCTGCTTTGGCTTGAATCACCCCAGTAATTTGAGACAAAATAGAAAATGTTATCTGTGTATGCTTTGTACACTGCTTGAGTTCTCTGGATCAAAACCAATTCTACACTTCAATTGCATAGAGGACTCAGTTTTCTGATTTTGGAAATCAGTTAGTTCATTGCTGCTTGTCTTAACTTTGTAAGGGAAGCAGGAAGAAAGCATAGGTCTGTTAAAAACTCAGAGAATATGGCAGAGAAGAGAATGAAATCGTGGTAAGGGGATTCAAAATTAGTTGTTTTTTTTTTTCAAAATTAGTTTTTAAAACTATTGTTTTTGTTAAAGCTGAAACTTGCTGGTTATTTAAAGAAAAATGTCGGGAAATGCAGAAAAGTGTGAATAAGAAAGTAAATTTAAAAAATCACCTGAAATTCCACCATCCAAAAATAACCTTTGTATGCATTCCGGGAACACCATTCCAGAACCCAGTTCCATTAAAAGGCTGGAGGAACAGTCAGTTGGGCAAGCATTTGCAGAGGAACAGGTGAATTAATTTTGTAAGACTCTGCTTGAAATAAACAGACCGACTTTAAATATGCTAGTTACAAGCACCGTTTTTAGGCTTCTCTCCGCATATATCCTTTGGATACATGAATAGACAAAAGAAATCAAATAGTCAAAACTAGCGATTCAGTGAGGTCTTAAGTTCAGAACATTCAACCAAATTAGTCATTTCTAACATGAATCATTTTCTCACACTTTTCAATCAAGGATTTGAAATGTAATATTTATTTTAACTCCTCACTTTGATACATAGCTTGCAATCTGCCAGTGTGACTGCCCCCATGCTGAGTTTCCTTACCTCCAAACCCTCTGTTGCTAAGGTTTATTTATATTTCTACATTAGTCAACTGCAAGGGGTAGGGGGAAGGAGTGAGGAAAAAAGAAACCCAAAGGACAATTATAAGCCAATGCAGTTTCTCTGTATGAGCTAGGACGGTCTAAAATAAGTATTTCTTCTTGAGAGTATCATAATTTTCCTGTCTACTTGTACCTAAGGTGTAACAATAATACTAAATATTTATAAAGTTCCTGTCTTCTAGGGAGCTCAAAGAAAAATATTTATGTAAGTGATCTCAGCAGTTCTCCAAAATAGGAAAGCCGAAGCATTTTCTCACATTAGTCTATAAACTAAGTCATTTGTGTGCATAGGTGACTGGTTCAAGTTCATACTATGAGTCAGTGGCAGAAAAGCCAAAAATAAAACTACGGTGTTTTGGGTTTTTTTTTTAACTACATACTTTCTCTAGCTTTCACCTCATCTCCAATAAAAAAAATAAATAAATAAAGTTATCAGGTCATCATCATGAAACATTCTTTCAGCATGGCTGATATTTTTTACATGAGCAAGATGCTATGATCTACTTATTAGCTCAATGTTATATATTCATTTTAATAATGGATGATATCGATGATAGTTATGTAGATATCCATAGTGCATTGACTCCTATTATCAGGAAACTGAGATTTGCTTAACTGAATTCTTGAGGTGTCTTTGAAATTGAGTGCCAGTTGGCACTGAAAATCACTCTTAGGCTCTTCCTTATGAAAATCACAGCAAGCAAAACACCTCGGTGCAAAACCTACACTTTAGTATTATCTATAAACTATGCTCTGAAATTTAGCTAAAAATAGTCTGTGAAAAAAAAGTAATGCTCTTTTCAATCACTAATGACCATCTGTTAGAATTTCCCATTACGGGGAACCATAGTGTATATAAAAAATGTGGTAGGGAAGAAATAGATTTACTAAATACTCAGTCTATATTAATGTAAAGCCGTGTTTAAAATGTTTAGGGGATTTCTGAGAGTAATAGGTTCTGAAATTGTACTCATCAGAGTGATCTGTGGCACAAAATAAATATCAGTGCCCTCACACTTTGGCAAATCTCACTTGCAGGAGAGCAAGCCAACTGAAGCTGCCAGTAATTATAGTAGGAGAAACTAGGAGTAATAAAATGTGCTGAATTCCTTATAGGAATATCAAGTCTTGCAAAGATCCTTAAAGACACTCTAGTCCATACCCTCATCTTGCAAATAAGGAAAACGACTCCTAGAGAGGAGTGAATTGTTTAAGCCTACAGTATTTTTAATAGAAACAAGCAGGAAGATTGGTGGCCTGACACAATTAACAACAATGCCTGGTTCCTCCATGTCCTATTCTTAACAACTGTTCTTTTGGGTGTCTTAGGTCACCACTGGAATTAATTTTACCAAGTTTTAGCTTCTATATACATGTTGAGAGAACAAGTAGAAAGGAAGAGGCATTGTGGAAATAGTGATATTCTCTCCAAGTAGAACTCCCTAGAAACCACCCATTTGGTTATTCAGCAGAC